ACAAACGCAGGCCTAGCGATAAAAGAAAAGAAATCACCCGACCCAGGGGCCAAATAGGCCTAGGTAAGGCAAGCCATGCCAAACCGCCAGTTGAACCATCAGGATGTCATTCTGGCAATTATTGATGCTTCCACCGAACCAGATTTCTCTGCAAAACCAGAAAAAGCATGGAAAATAAGTCCCATCGGGTATCTCCGAAGTATCAGCTCGCGCCGAACCGCAATTAAAGTTGTCATCCGACCAAATCTATCCGAAGATAACCGAAAGACACGATGCAGAATGCTGGTGATTGCCCCGATCTTCGCTTGCTTAGAGGAGTAGGAATCAAAGTCCTGAAACGAACCAAAGGTGAGCCGTCCCAGGCTCTGGAGGCTATCCGCATTCTTAACAATAGCAGAAGTACGGATGGTAGTCCCAATTCGCTCAACCAAGACACCAGCAAAAGTCCAGGACTCCGAATCGGTATCAGTCCTCTCCAGCCGGAGGTGAGAACCATAGCATAAGCGAAAAGCATCAAGAATACCCAGAGCCCGACATGGATTATCTCGGGCCAAAATTGCAACAAAAATTGTCACATCATCAATGATCCTGAAACCAAAAATCAGCCGTTGATCTACTCCAAGAGAACAAAGAAAACGATTCTCTGCAAAMGCGCAGAGGATGCAGGCTAAAGAACAACTAGTCGATTTACCCATTGGCACACCAATGACCTGTTTCAAAAACCTCTGCTCCGACCAGATGTAGGTAAAGCACAAATCTACCGACACCATGTTCTCAACCTCTCGCAAGGTGACCCGAATACAATCAGGTCGATGAGACCCAAGAGACAGATGTGCTGCCTTCCCTCGTCGGGCCAAATTGACTCCTAGGTACCCTTTCTGCCGAAAAACATAAACCAACCATGAAACAGCATCGCGAATCTCCCTCTGTGGCAAAGATACGAACATGTCTTTAACATCAAAGGAGGCAGAGACCACGTCCAGAACATCAGGAAGGCTCCTAATCCTATCATTAATCTTACGCAGCCCCGAAGTGAACATATCTACGGATTTGAGATTGAAATTAGATCTCCAAGGCAACGCAAACAGCATGCAGTTCAAAGCCCTCGCTACTCGCGAGGAGGCCAGTCGTGTCGGCTCCGCAAAGGTCGGGGAGATGGGACGCCACCGAAGGAGATCCCTATGTTTAGGTAGGACATACGCCAAAACAAAGCATCCCTTAGGATCCCATTTCCCTAAACGTTCCAGCGAGTACCCACGGAAACGTTCCTTCATACGTCCCAAGACTTCCACCTGTGACTCCTCAGCCGGCTGAAAGGAGGGACTAAAGTCGAAGGCCATACGTAAAAAATGCCGATAAAGCTCCGGACATATAACCAGTGTATCACCAGAATTACGATCAATAGGGACACACACGAATCTACGCAATCGATCGATCCACGGCCTCATCCGCGAGTTCAACCAAGGATCTTTAGCCCGGGCATCAGACCAGCATCCACGCAAAAGAAGCGGGTTAATCACGAAAGACGACCGAAGAGTCCTACAGACCGCTACCAACTCTTTCCCAAGGTCATAGATACCCATTCGACACTCTGAGAGGGGTATGTTTCGAGAATTTCGAAACAAATAAGGAAGGAAAGGTATATCCTCAATCCTGGTCATCACATGCAAGCCATACCTTTTCCAACCGGCCTCTCCTTCACAAGCGCAAACATTCAGCGCGTCACCATGGACAAACCGATTCTGTGTCCAAATCAGGTCACCCACCTTCTTGTTCCTTTTCCACACAAAACGTACACGGCGTTTGACCAACTCCCGAACCGAAAAAGGAAAGACCGAGTCATCGATAATCCTAATAACCAGGTCTAACACGGATCTAGTCTGCAAACGGTGGTCAAACACTGCCCGGACAACAATCTTTCTTCGAATATCAAATTCAATCTTTCTTTTAACTGCAAGTGCTACAATTGTTTTTAAAGCAACCCGGGTATCCCTATTAGAAAAAGCCCTGGCCGCTTTAAACAACCGTACAAAAYCATCCACAGACTTGTTCCGTAACCCYYTTCGTSGCCACGGCTGCTGGAGCAACAGRCGGAGCTCACCCTTATCGATTGRCCGACCATTAGGGGTAACGATCAACGGACCAAAAAGCAAGTCCCTGCCTCCTTCCAAAMAGCGGCGGATATCRCAAAGGCAAGAACGTCGGTAAAMCAGAGACACCGGTGTAGTSCCAAACACCCTACGCACTACCRACCACTTGTCAGCCCAGCTWYCACYGGGCACAGCGGTAATCCGTATATAACGCTTGCCAGCAACATACGCCTGTTTCAGTAGATTTACCAAACTATCAGTCCAGGGGCCAGAATCARCACGGAACTTAACRAATGCAGACAYACAWGGAACCGCAAAAGGAAAAAATGTCCTACGCTGGCGAGATAGCCTTCGACTTCGGCTAACCCGGCGACGGTTCCGTCTGGAGTTCAGATAAGGATCCATGTACCGAATAGCAGCCGGTTCATCCACCTCTACAGAAGATAACCCATTAACGAGAGGCACCGCAACATATTTCCAAACCCCAAAATGCTTCAACCATTATATAGTCGCGGGCAAACCCCAACGCCATTCATTAGTGTAGTTCGGATATGTTCCCCCCAACGAACATACAACCCTTGAATCGTATTCCCAACATACTGCACACGACACCAAGGGGAGGTCAGGAGATATACTACCGGACCTCTATCCCAGGAATGCCAGTCCACCGAAGAAAACAGATCCTCAAACTTCCGACACCATGCAATTTCCCCAATCAAGGCTAAAGCAACAAAGCACAATGTACAACATTTGTCATATGGTAGCCGAATTCTTGGTGGTAAGTCAAAAACAAAGGCGTTAGTCCAACCCTTCATAACATCCAACAGGTTACGCCAGAGGTAAAAAGTCGAAAAACGTGCTAGTCATGCGGGGTTTGATTCCGCATTCTTAAGTGAGTGCGGTGGGGAGGTAGCGGCAGCCTGAGCCGGGACAAGAACAAACCCTTCATAGACCAGCTTCGTCCGTGCTGCTATGATCCGATCAATGGAGGGGCCCTTAGTGCAATAATGAAGGCCTTCATTGACACAGATCTTCTTCAGTTGGTCTTGACGGAGTCCCTCCAGTGTTCTCCGTTGCTCAAGAATATAATGGAGAACCCCATCGGGTCCCCCTCCAGCAGGCACCTTCCTCCTCCTATCTTCCGCCTGCCGAGAGCACTCAGCGTGAGTGCGAGCATCATCAGCCACCGGTCCGTCCATATTGAAGGCCGGCTGCCGAAAAGCCACACCCTCAGAAAGGGGTGTCTTACCCCGTCTCCGCTTCTCACGAAGCGTATAGAGCYGCCGGATTTCGTCGTCGATATCGTCGACCTCACCGTGCTCATCGTCCCGAGTATCCCTCCTTCGAGACGACAGCGGCGTACGTATTGCACGGATCTCTTCCCGCCTAGCATCGTCCCGGTTGGCTATGAACTGTCTCCCAAGTAGTGCCAAAAGTTCGGCCTTAGTGGCCTCCGCGTGGCGCGCAGTCTCAGCCTTAAGTTGTTCCTGGATGCGTTGGCGATCCTCCATCTCCTTCTTGAGCGCCTCCTGCTGCTTTCGCTCTTGGAGGAGAGTCCGGAGGAACTCCTTCTCTTCCAGATCCTCAGTATTACAGAGCGGCGTCCAGAAGCGCGGCGTAGTAGGAGTAAGAGTAGATGCCCCATTCACAGCCCCACCACCTGGATTAGCCCGACCCGTCGGGCACTCACGGGCGAAATGGCCATCGCCGCCGCAAGAGAAACACTTCAAGTTACTCGCCATAACAACAGTAGTGATCAGAAGGCACACACCACCAAATCTCCTCCTTAATCGTGCCTAACAAAGATACCACACCTGCCAATATCGTCGTCGAAGGTCACCACTATCCGGATCAGGTGATCTTCGATCATGAAAGCGCATCTAAAGAGGATACGAGTCATATCAGAGCCGACAAATGAGAAGGGCGAGGGAAAAGGAAAAGGAACGTCAGATCCTAAACCGGAATAGGAGTAGTCGGGCATCTACCAGTATCAACGCGACTCGTAGAATAACCAGTCGTGCCGAACAAAAACCCAAAGAAACCGAAATATCACAAAAAAACCAATCGTTAATCCCACCTCCGAAACCCATCCAGTCGTCGGTGCGGCCACCAATGAACGTACAATTGCATTCACGAATACCGTGTTACTCATAGAAGAAGAAGATCTGTCGGCAAACAGTCTTACGCATGAGCCAGGATAGAGAATACACCCAATCAAACGATCCTGGACGCACACAAAAAA